GCATCACACACTTTGGAGTTTTGGCCAGCTTCCCGTCTTGACTAGCATTGTGCATATGGTGCGAACGACCTGAATTTTCCATTATTTTTTGAGAATTATCTAACGTAAATATATTGACAATAATTAATGTAGGGTTTTTTTTTCACATTTTGTGGCCAATTTGTGTATAGCTTTTTAATTCATAGTGCAATGGAAATAGTTCAGGCTAAAACTTCGCATATAATTGAACACCCCATTCAATCTGCATTAAAAAAAATTTGGCCAAAAAAAAATATTCCGACCAACCGACCCTATTTTTGAAAGGCATGTAATCGGAAGCAGAAGTATTTTTTCGGCCTAATTAATCTAGAACCGGTTCCTGACATCGACGGTCGGGTACTCGGGTACCCGGTTCCGATGCACGGCCCTGGTATATTTTGCATTTTTTTTGTTTCCTGATTCAGCTTATCCTGTCAAGAGTAATAAATGGGTTCCGTAATAAGGAAAAAATACAAATTTGAAAATTCTGAAATACATGAATATAGGCCTACAGGGTAAGGCAAAAAAAGTGACCAAATTTGAACAATATTCGCTATCAATATTTCTGGAAAAAAAAGAGTTGACTTTTTCTTCTTTTTCATAACACAAAATCTTATAGTATGCTCTTTTAAGACGTACATTGGTGTATCAAACTTGTTGCTTTTAAGAAAATGTTTTGAATCCAGCAGCCGATTTCACGAAACTCGTCTTATCTTACAACTTATCTTAGGACTTAGGACGAGTCCCCCCTCTAAGATCGATCCTAGCTAAGACGCGTCCAAAGATCGATTTCACCAAACGCATCTTAAGGAAGACGCATCCGAAATACAGTTTTACAAACCGCTAATTATTGAACGAGGATGACCTTTTGCGTGCTACGGCTGTATCATGTTCGATTTGGCATTTTTATGCAACTTCGGCATTTTCATGCAACAGCCGTCGGAAATGTACACGCGCTTGCAGTAAAATCAAGATGGCTGATTGGCGGTTGTTTTGGAGTGAAAAATTCGTCTGCTAAAAAAACGTCTGCTAGCTCGTTTAACACGTAAGTATATACGTAACTAGGAAAATTGGTCAATTTTGGTTCTTTGCATTGTACAAGTTACACAACGAGGTCATTTTTGGGGGTTGTAAAAACGCATTTTGAGTCGCAACATCGAATGCGTCTGTGGTGTACCGTGTACTTGTGTACGTACACATGGAGCCAACGGCAACGTGCAGCAGCATGAACGTCAACGAAAGTGGGGGGACGGGGAGGTCTAGGGCCAGTAATTGGTCTCACGAAGAAATCAAAGTGTTGAGCGAATTTGTGCGGGCCTACAAGCACCAGCTGATGGGCACGAGCAGCAAATCCACAGCCAATGTGGAAAAGGTTAAAATCCACTACTGGAAAATGGCAGGGAGAGTATTGGTGGAAAATGGAGGGGTGGAGCGACCATGGAAAAAAATTAGAAAGAAGTGGCAAACCATCACCAGTCAAGCACGGTCATACCATAGAGAATGTAACAGAACGGGTAAGCTCATTTAGTTAAACAAACATTTATTAAATAGTTTATTTTTAATTTGTATTTATTTGTTTCATTTATTTATTCTTTTTTTTGGGGGGGGGGCGATTGTCCTACATCATAGTTTGTACATTTGTTTTGTGATTGTCTGTGTACATGTTGCCCTCACACCATGGATCAGTTACAGAAAGAATGTTCCATCCTGACGCCACTTTTTCATTGTATATTATTCAATGAAGATCAGTCCTTGCAAAACTGTTGAATAGGCATGAATTTTGCCCTAGAAGACATTTCCAATTTCGTTAAAAAAATATGTTGAAAATGCACTCAACTCTCCATAGACTTTGTACACAAACAAAGAAGTGGCGACGGGATAATACATGCTTTCCTTTTCATTATTCATGCAGTCTCGACCCCAATAGTCATCCTTTTGTAATTTTCTATAGACCTCGCTAGGCCTCTCACATAAAATAACTTAACATGGTAGTAAACTGTTATGAAGGTGGAGGGGAAATTGTACAATTGGTCCATTGTACTTGCAACATCGGCATCTGACGAAGTGAAATAGATGTTCAATGGGCAATGGATATGTTTGTCACAGCTCAATATAAGGTTAAGGCCAAACAACACTGCCGTTTCTAATAACGTTTAAAAAAAGTTGGTTGTGCATCATTGTTGGCTTTTTTTCCAAATAATACTAAGCATGTGGTGTTAACATTTTTAATCGTTCAAACAAAAAGAATCTAAAACTTTCCAACTTAGACAAAATAAAAAATTTCAATTAAAAAGGGATCTTCATTCATGTGGTTTTCTTCGAAGTTTAACATACAAAGCCTGAAGGGGAAATTTTTGCTTTCTTAATTCTAGAACTTAATTAAATTTAATACATTTTTCTATGAAAAGTATTTTTTTCCCCCTTCCATCATTTGTTTCATGATGATTACAAGTCTAGATTTTCTCCTTTTTTTATGAAGGTGGAGGAGAAAAGCCGGATCTGAATCCAACATTCGAAGTCGTGCTAGATGCACTTGCACCAGTTGCCAAGGATGGCATCCTGTCGGCGGATGATGGTGAGTCAGACCCAGCAGCTGCAATACCAGTTGAGGACAGCACAGCTGAGGAATTGATGCTAGACATGGTGGCAAATAGTAAGTAGTTTTAATTAGTGTGCAGTCATACAAGCATTCGATTTCATGAAGGTCATCATAACTTACGATGCATCGCAGCGCTTGCGACGTGCCGTATCTCTACGATGCGTCTGCTGCAACGCGTTCTGCGATCCATTTCACAAAACATGTCGTAAGTGTGACGCGTCGAAGGTGTATTTATAGCACAACTTGGTGACTATTTTATGTATTTAATCAGTGTACAGTAAATAGCAGGCATGCAACTTTTCCTCGGTTCAGCTGATTTCCCCTTTTTTTACTTCACATGTGTGCCATTGAAAATAGAAAAACACTGTACAAAGTCTGGGAAAATTTGAATTTCCTCTTTTTTTTGAGATTTCCCAGTTGCATGCCTGAAATAGTCGTTTGATATTCAACAAAGAGTCGTTGGATCTTCAGTCGAAATTTGTTAAAATGTAAAACAAAATGGAGGCCTTGTGATGCAATTTTAAAGGAAAACAAGCTTTCAGGGGACTGCTCAAGTCCCAAGTCTTGCAGGTCGAGTCCGAGTCACAAGAGACTCCGGTCGAGTCCAAGTTGCGAGTCGCCTTTAAAAGTTGTTTGGGAAAAAAATTGAGGTACTGCTAAAACCTCTCATTGTAAATGTTTCCATTTTTTCACAGCTTTTCTCTAATTTAATGAACTGGAAATACATACAATTTAAAAAAAAGTCTGGCTCGAGTCCTAGTAATACAAGTCACAGAGGCAATGCTCTTGGAATCTGAAATTGTTCAAGTAATATTAACTTAGGTTTAATTCAGCACTGAAGGAAATTTTTGTGCAGTGAAAATACAAACAAATGACATTGTATCAAAACTATTTACACAAAAGAAAAAGTATGTACAGTAATTCAATATTTCCTGGCAATTAGTAACGACTCTTGATTTAATGAATGTTATTCAGTTTTAAGCAAACATTTTTGTTTTGTTTTTGTTTTGTTTGTTTAAAGCCATCAGTCTAGGTGAAGTCGCACCTGCTGAGTCCAACCCTGCCCCTCCATCAGAGGAAGCACATCATCGACATCCTGGAATTGTTCAGGAATCAGAGGAAGTGACGACAAAAACTACAAAGGTGGACTCCATCTTGGAGATAGAGAAACAGAAATTGGCGCTGGAACATGAGAGACTTCAGGTTGCTAAGGAGCAGCTGGAAGTTAGTAGGCAGATTTCAGGTTCACTGGGTGAAATCAGCCACAACTTCCAACTGTTCCTTTCCAACCTGTTGCTGAGGGATCAAACTAATTAAAGGGCTCATGAAAATTACAATGCATTTTTGTCAGGTACATATTTTGTGCAACTTTCTGCTACATTCACATCTATCATTGCCGGTCAAGCAGCGTCGCGATCCACATTCTCAGTTCACTGCACAGTAGCCCCGTCATCGTCATGAAGATATAATATCACTGGCAAGAGAAAAACTATTTGACATCCCTTTTTGGTTATTTTGTTGAAAACTGCACTTCTTTAAACATTTAAAATGTTCCAAGCTTTTCCGGCCAACTGAGGGCGCTGTTGTCATAATGTCATTTCAGGAAGACACTTGTCAGTTGAGGGATGTTCTGTTCAAATTATGAACCCAAATATTTGCATATTGGAAACATCTTTGAGATAAATTTGCTCATTGTCTTGCTGACGCAACAATGGACCACCACAGAAAAGGAATTTACAACAGCAAAGTATCCAAATTCGGGCACCTGTTGGTGCTGATCTAGATGCAACATTAAGGTCTCTGCCTGAAATGACATTATACTTTTGCTTTTATGTGGCAATTTGTATGAGCCTCAAAATCAAAAGGCACCAAAATGCCCTTAGAAATGGCAAACAAAAGTTAAATATAAGGTTTAAGGGGATACAAATGTGCATTTTGAAGGATTGCATAAAAACAAGTTACATTGCATGAGCCCTATAATTATTTAGGTCTAAAGAATCATTAAACTGAAACTTATGAAGAAATTGTCAAATAGTTAAAGAAATAAATCCATTCAATCCTATTGTGTTGCATGAGGATATTTTGAAGAAACTAATTATAGGCTTGAAAAACGTGCAAAATTAACTCGACATCTCTAATGTGTAAAAATTTATTCACAAGCATTTTCAGTGCCTGTAAACATTGTGAGTAGGATTGCTGAAATTTTAATACATGAAATAGGTTACCAAAATACCAAGATAAATGAACAAATCTTACAGTCAAATTATATGTTGGATGGTTCTGTTTTCAGTTTCAATTGATTGCTACTTGGTGACATCAATAAAATGGATTTACTCTACTGGAACTCTGTATTAGAATGGATTGGAAAAACATAAAGGTTCATTGGTACTGGAAACAACAACCTGTAAATATTTATGCAACATAGAGGGATTGATAAATTGTAAAACAACAAGTGGGATTGATAAAAAGTATTCAAAAGTATGCATTAATTATTCTGTTCCTCTGTATCGTACCATCTTGGATGTGCCCATCATAGGGTATGTCATCGTTTCCCTCATCCTCTCTCAGCTCTCCCTCTATCTCCGGCTCCCTCAATTCTTTGGCAATGTTATGCAGCACACAACAGGCCTTGATGATCTGACAGGCTCTACGGGGGGCGACACGGAGCCCGAGTGACAAACAGGGAAATTTGCGTTTCAGTTGACCGAAAACCTGTTCAATTGTCACTCTTGTTCTTCTGTGGCTCCTGCAATAAAAAGAAGAAATAATAGGTTTATTTTTTTTATACGTTGTTCAGTTTGTCTTGTTTAAAACCATGCTGTAAATAGATTTCTCTTTGTGCCATACATGAACGTTTCAAAAATTAAAAAATAGCCTGACCAACTGAAATATTTTCTGATGAAACATCAGCTGTAAATAGATTTCTCTTTGTGCCATACATGAACGTTTCAAAAATTGAAAAAAATAGCCTGACCAACTGAACTATTTTCTGATGAAACATCAGTTGGGTGGAACACTAGATTAACAGCATCGAATAAAGAAAATATCACCTTCCTAACCTCCTTACATGTATATCCGTAATGTTTGTGTACATACTTTCTTACGAAATTCGCAAAACTTTTGTTTCATTTTGCAATATTTATCGCTCAAGTCGAGCAGTACCCAGTTTTGAATTTGTTTTTGCAGATTTCATGAATATACATATAACAATAAAAAACAAACGTTTTGTTGAATTGAATTAAATGTATTGATACAGTTTGAATCCTTACTTGTTGTTTTCTCTTTGCTGTGTACATTATTTATTGGCTTCAAGTCTCAAATAAATCAAATAAGGTTTTGCCCTTCACCGACGTTTAAACACTGTATACTCAGTGTGTTACCTCCCGAGTGAAAGTTGGAAAAAATCACTCAAGTCTCAAATAATTATAAATGATAAAAGTACCTGTTGTAGCGTCTCTCGGCATTTGTTGTCGGTTCAGCGACAGGTGTCATCAGCCACGGTCGTAGGGCGTAGCCGGTATCGCCTATCAGCGTTCCTTGGAGTCTGAAAATTAAGGGGATTTTTTTATTAAATGTATTTATTGAATATTATCAGAGCCTATCATTATGTATCATTGATGTTTCTAGTAAACAGTTCAAATCCGATGGCGTGTTTCTTCAAATTTGTTACACAGAATTGTTTGCATTTTTTACTTCCAAAGATTCCTATTATGGTCACCACTCGTGCATACTTATTTCATTCTCAAAGGTGCCTAAAGCTTCTAGTACAAACCTTCCATTCTCGAACATTTCTCCGAGAAGGCTCCCGTGCAAAACCGCACTGTCGTGGGTGCTGCCTGGCCATCGTGCGGCGACATTCGTCATCTTAAATGACGCATTGCACACAGCTTGAACATTAATGCTGTGATAACCTTTTCTGTTTACATACAGAGGCTCGTCATCACCGAGTGGTGCTCCGTACAGTCGTACGTGGGTGCAGTCTATCGCACCAACTACCCCGGGAAAGCCTGCCTTGTCGAAAAACCCTTGCTTGGTCTTCATCACATCTTGTATATCGACAGGAAATCGTATGTGGCGATCGGTCAATCTTGCGAGGGAGTTGGCAACCCGGTGAACGATGCGACAGACGGACGGGACGCTGACATCATGGAGATCACCTTCAACGGTGTAGAAGGCACCGGTACCGAAGAACCGCAGGGTAGTGAGCAGTTGCATCAGTGGCGATATTGCATTGCTTCTCTTTATAAGGATTAAAATGTTGAAAAGAAACAATGCCATTATTGCTTGCCCTTTCATAGATTTTTTTATTTAATTGTTAACTATATGAAAAGCGTTTTTGAAAATACAAATTATTTTGTAGAATGTTCGCGAAGAATACTATTCTATACTTGTTGCTCTAGTTCGACGTACGTTTGAAATTTCACTAAAATGCACCCAGACAATCCTACAAATTCAAAATATTTCCGAATCAGTATGACCGCTCAATGATTCAGAAATTGGGACTTATCATAAGTACTATGGGGAATATTTATATTTCAAATGTCAAGTTTTTAAAATTAAATCGGGGTAACATTTTGAACAATTTTCCGTGCAGAACACGGGTTTACCTTTTAGAAAATGATTGTGAGCTGCAAAAACGGGATAGGCCTACCCTTTTCCCCCCAGAAATTTGTTATTAGAACATGGTATATATTCTTACTTCATTATTTTATAACATTATTTGGTGAAGAACTCATTTCTATTTTCGGAATTAAAATTGCACTATTGTATATACAATATTCTTAGTCTTATATGGTAAAGTTGCCATCGCAAATAATTCTTCTAATTGCGAATAATTCTTCTATTTGGGCAACATGGTAACAACTTTCACTTACTGATGTATGTATTCATAAAAAGTATTCTTTTATTTAAAAATAAAGAAAACAGTGTTTCCCCAAATTACTCTGAATTTAATGATGTCTTTAATGATCTGAAAGCTTTCCCATAATTTATTAGTCATTTATTGTTTGTAATTTCAGATCATTGGATAGATCTAGACAGCTTCAATTCCCTTTTGACCGTCGTTCTATATACCCAAGTTCTTTATACTTTAATTCTTTTGTAAATATCTGATAATTTGTAAAAACATTGTCTCATATATTTGAAATCGATTTAATTGTGTTGCAAATAAAACATTTTGATATTGTTGAGACAACCAAAAAATTTTGCGCCACCCAAATTATTTTAAATTAGTGGAACCACTCGGAATTAATTTAAATCACTCTCCCCGATTACAATCCCTTCCTAGCAATCCTCAATCGGAAAGTAAACCTAAAAAGGTAACAGTATGGGGATCCCAACGCGATGGTCAAAATAAATCACGAAAGTCACTTTTCTATAAATAAGGTTTTACAAATCTCCGTATTTTGTAAAAATGCTTATTTGGAGCAAACTAATTCCGGAATCTGCCATTTAGTTTTGCAGTTGTGAACACGATCCGATTAGTTGTGTGTTTTTAACAGTTGAAAACATTATCAAACAGGGCCTAGGCCTTTGTGTAATGTAATGTAAAATGTAATGTATCGATTTTATTCTGACCATTTTTTGACTGGGATGTTAATGTGCAAAGAAAAAAATGTCCGTTTAGAATAATTTCATTGTTGAGAAATAATTATACGGCCGTTTAATTGTTTTCTGTATATAGGCCTTTTTTAAAATCATAAACGCTTCGTAAATGTAGGAACATATAGAGATGTTCCCTGAAACAACCTTGCTTTCATAGGTTAAATCGTTAGGTATGAAACAAATTCCCTAATACTTGAATAATTTCTTCTCTTACGCCAAAATTTATTCAGGCTTTATTCCCGGATCCCATCCCCGGCTGTTACGGTTGCTTACTATTTTTCTGTCCGCTTTCTACAAAATTAGGCCTAAGTCTGTTAGTAAAGTTTTTACTGAATGCTAATTAACTCACCCGGGTGTCGGACTCCAATTCATCTGCAACCCTTTCTAGAACTTGGAATACCCCATGTCTCGTGAATCTATATCTCGTGAGGATTTCCTCGTCATTGAGACTGTCTAGTGGATTTCTCCTGTCTCGGAATAACCTTTCTCGCCTTATTGCCCGCCGAGCTTCGCGATCTGCAAGAAGCATAAGCGCCATTGTGAATTTCAGTAAATTTTACGTGTTCGCGGAGATAAGACGACCCTCGGACCGATCCTAAGTTGAGACGAGTTCGGCCGCGTTGCTAAGGAAGTTAGGACGTGTTGAATGCGTCTTAAGTTTGGTGAAATCGATCCTAGGACGAGTCGCGAGTTAAGACGAGTTATCCTTCCTAGGACGCGTCTTAGCGTTTCGTGAAATCGGCTGCAGGTCTCCTTCTTTTTGCCGCGCCCTGTACAACACTATTGAATTCAAATCAGCCCAACCCAAAATGTCATCTTATAAATGGTTGGGTTACAGTACCTGCTGCTAGGTCAGATTCAAACCAGCCAGCCAAACCCCGGCAAGCTGTGTGGTTGAGTGGTAAGCTGTGTGCACTAGTAAGCAGGTGGTCCTGGGTTCGAGTCTCAACCGAGTATAGAATGTGCATTTTGCTCTCACAAGCGCTGGGACAACACTCGGCATATACAGTGTCTATAGTACGTCTGTGAAGGGCAAAAACCCAATACTGAAAATATTGCAAATTGGTGACTAAATAATTATAAAAATTTCATCCTGAACTTCAATGCAATTGATCAATCTTGACAATGAGAATTTGACAGATACAAACAATGGGAATCCGTGACAAGACTAGCCAATGCTTGAAACCAAGAAAAAGTGACTGTGATTGAACTGGCAAGTCTTGCACGCTCAATTGTGTACCCTTTTTTTTTTTTTTACAGCAACCGAAGAAGATATTGACTGGTCTGCAACTGAAACCCAAGAAAGTCAAGGCAGTCAACAAGGCAACCTATGCTTTTGTGACATTCAGGTAAAGAATGCAAACTCTCTATTGATTTTGGCTGCCAAGGTCAATTGTTGCTTGCCAATGCAAGTGGGCATCTACATCCAGTCGAGTGTCCATATTTGAAAAGATGGTAAACTGAAACTGAGTTGTAAATGAATTAGTTAAAGCCAGAGTCCATCATTTGCAGCTATCCAAAAAGTAACTGGCGTAATTACTGTTGATAACAGTGTTGTAGTCGAGGCCACAACCTCTGACGCCAAGGCCAAGGCCGAGGCCACCACCTCCGAGGCCAAGGCCGAGGCCAGCTATCAAAACAGGTAATAAAATATACATCACTAAAACAAGGCTAAGATTAGGTTGGAGTTTTAACATCTTTTTAGTTGAATTCACTGAGTTTCGGAGTGCCTAGCTTACAAATTTACAGCTTGCAATGGGTTTCCTTTTGTAGGGAGTCCGGCGAATTTTATTTTTTAAAGAAAGAAATCTCAAGTTTTGTATTACTGAAAGCAAATTACACAACAAAATCAATGGCGTTTGAATCAGGCTCATATGTGTTTGCCCTTTGGAGATACAACAATTTAAATGGCCAAATTTTGAGTTTCTATTCTGTAGGATTTACATCATTTACTTTTAGCATGTTTTTATAAATCTTATTTTCAAAACCTATCAAAATGCTTAATATCATAGGAATCCCCATTAAATAAACAACAACTTGATTTTTGAATCAGGTTTTTACCACTCATAACCAAAAATTTACGACCCCCCCCCCCCGACCTTCGCACTGTCCAGGCGCGCGCCGAGCAACCACCGCGATGCGACCAGACAATGCCAGACGGCCCGCCGTTACACACTGGCAAAGCATAGTTCCAATCCCGCTCCACACAACACGGCAACACGGAACATGCGTGCATGATAATCACTCAGTTCATCAAAATGACCATGAATTCTCGGATCATCCGATTTGAGTCCAATGGCTTCGAAGAATTTTAAGATCATGGCAAGAGGTAGGGAGTCCAGAGGTTTTGGCCGTATATCTGTAACCACGCAAAATTAGTCAATTTAAAACCGTGCTTATACATGTAATAAGTATCAACATGGCTCTAAAAATACAAAAAAGTTTCCTGGTACCACGAGGAATACTGACTCCTATTATTAAAATATTCATTCAGAACTTTGCATTCATTTGGATGGAAAAACGAATTCTGAAATCGCGCTTTCCATATCGACCATTTGCGCCAAACATTACCGTGTGAGCCAGAACTTTCATTTAAATCACCGTGTAAAAATAAAATCTACCTGATAAATCGTAATTGTTTTTATCATATCTTTATAAAAAAAAAATGGTATGGACTAGTACACTCAATCGTACCCAGAAAGTTCAGATTTTTACTGAAACAGTGGCCTATAAAAAAAATTGATTAAGCTTGCCGCACCTTGCCGCAAATCATTTTTAAAAGGTCGGGGTACAGAGATGAAACGAGAAAATTTTGTACAACACTGCAACCAGACTAGTCTACTTCCACATGTTATTGTACGCAAATGGGATTGGTGCCAGACTTATGTAGTCTGGCACGCGGTAACAAGTATAACGCTTACACACACGTGGAAAGCTGAAGCGCAGGATAGGCGAAGATGCTACGTACGTGAGTACGTTAAATGCAACCATTTCCAGTTCATTCGTGCGTACATTGTATATGCGTTCGTTTCACGGAACCCACTGTGGCAGAATCTCGAGGGTTTGATTCGGAAACAACTTAAAATTAATTAGAATAGAAAACAAATCAAAATGGGCGGCCTCGAGCCGGCCTCGACCGATTGCCGAGGCCGGAAGGCTCCGAGGCCTTGCACCTCCGAGGCCAAGGCCGAGGCCATGAAAATCGGCCTCGAGGCCAAGCCGGCCTCGAGACCTCCAACACTGGTTGATAAACATACTTGGTTGAAATAACTAAACTCCATGTGAAATTATTCTTTCTGGCAAGCTGTCATTTTGAAGAAATCAATAAAAGAAGGCCTTTCCAATGGTGCTTTTTAAGAAGCACCGTAGGAAATTCAACTTAGTAGTTTGTTTTGTTATTCGGCAAAGCGCGCGCAAGCATTGGCATGACACACACGTGCACACGGTTGCTACAATTCGTCGGATCAGTGTGCGACATCGCATAGCTGCAATCGGCTCAGTGAGAACGTGTCTCGGATGCTGAATTCAGGCCCAATTCAAAACATGATTCAGCAACTTATGATATGATTCAGCAACATGATTAAGCTGTACTAAATCTTTACAAATGTCCAATGTAGCTTAATTTTTCTATTCTTGACAAAACGGAGGGGAAAAGGTTTTGTTTTTGTACTTCACCAGCAAAAAGTGAATCTCTTAATTTTTCTTTCATTTAATGATGATTATTGCAAAGACTGTGCTATGGGTTTACTACACAGAGTTGGAAATTGTAGTGCTTGCCAGCACACATAACCAGCAAGATAGGGATGAATATTTGAGACATGAAAGAAAAACTGGCGCCAGAAAATCCTAGTCAGGAGTGAGTGACATGGGAGCTTGTTAAAGGGTGAAAGTTGAGTGGGCTGATGTAATGCAACACAAATAAGAGCACAGGGAAACTTGATACAAGATTTAGTTTCGGTGTTTGGATAATCAAGAAAAAAAATTAAAATATAGATATAAATAGTCACTCCATCAACATAGCATTGAAACCACACTCTCCTCCTTGAAATGGAAAGTGTACTTAGACTTCTGTTTTCAATTGTTATACTTACAAAGCATCCATGAACTTTTCTCTTTGGTTTCGGGACAAACTGATCCACTTTGCTGGCAGACTGGTTCCTCGTCCAAGCACTATCGATACTGGTTGTGGGGCAGGAACCAGGCAGCCTCTCGAGAACAGAAATATCTTCTGTCAGCCAATAATTTGAAATTGTAAAGTAATAATTCAATAACTAAACATTAACTGATTGTTTTGTGTTCAAAAGTGAATATCTGTTGTATTGCTAGGAAAAAAGCAATTCAGAAATGAATATACAGTGTTTATACTTCGGTGAAGAGCGAAGCCTAATATTGATTTACATCACCCCAACGCAAAATTCCATCTTATGAATAGGTAGATGCGGTACTCGCTGCTATGTACAATGTAATGTTATGTACAATAGAAAAGAAATCTAATTTTTTGGGATAAAACTCGAAAAAATCCTCCCCCACAACACAAACATTCCATCTACGGTATCTCCTTTCCTGTTGCACTCGGTTGCTTGCGATGGATTAACTGATGGAAATCCAATTGTTTGTTTCATCCCTCAGCTGCCAAGAAGATAAGGAGGAGGCATTGAAAGTACTCAACGGACGCAAATGGAAAGGACAAGTGCTCAAAGCCAAGGTATTCACAAAGTCACTTGTGGTTTTTACTATTAGTACTTGCTTAGAACTGTTGGCACTTTCAATGAATTGAAATAACTAATCAACAGTCTTAGTATTGGCTACCAGTGCAAGGGGTCTAGTGGCTGCTATTGCTGTGGTTACAGGTTCATGTTCCTGCAATAACTCTTTTCCGTAGCTTACCAAGCCAGTTGAGGACCCGTACACTAAGAGCCTCGCTCTGAAGAGAAGCCAAGAGGAATCTGATGAAAACACCCAAGAAGCTAAGAGGAGGAAGGAGGAGGACAGCTGACCAGTAGAAGAGAGGTGAAGACATTGAGATAGAATGCAGGGTTGGGCTGGATTCGAACCACCATCCATTAGAAAAGTACTCTGGTTCTCAACCAACTGAAGTCATTACAACACTCATTTCTTTTACTGTGCTCTGTGGTATTAAAATCATGCAAGTGTAGAAAAGGCTCATTTGATGGAATTGATCAATTCTGTTCTGTCCATTTATTTTGGAGGATTTTGTAGGATATAGGAAGGTAGACCCCTGCCTATACTGCCATTTAGGCTTGATACCCCTTGAAAGTGGAAGTTCAAAGAATGTGATTTCCTTCACTGTAGTAGATTTTTTGAGTAGTTCAAGTAGTTCATGATCATCACAAGAAAACCATTCTTACATCCAGAGATTACTATTTTAAGAGCCCAACCAGTCAGTTCCATTGCTCATTTGACATTGTGAACATGAAATTTGTTGAGTGGAATAGTTACGTGGTCAGTTTTCTCTTCCTTGTCATTTATTCTCCTTGAAGGGAGAGCATCAAAGCTTCCAGGTCTGTGTAGAGTTTGTGATTCACGTTTTTAATGACACTTATTTTATCTGATAAACTTTTCAAGTTGAACACATTTCCCTAAGTGTTTCAAGCCTAAAATTTACTTTGCACATGCACCACCAGAACTATGAACTGAAGTTATGAGAATGGTTGTATGTAGAAAGATCACAAGTTCCACTCACTATCCATTACCCATAATGAGATATGGTGGACACAATACAAGGGTAATATTTGGTTTGGGTGAGTCTTTTGTATTGACCCCAAATTTACCCAAATCAAATGGCGCCCTTCGATTGTGTCTGTGCCATCTCTCAAAAAGGGTAATAGCGGTTGAAGCATTCACAATTGTGAAATTCTTAAGACTCTGAAATACTGAGTGAGCTTTTCGCTCTTTTCCCAATCTGCAGGTTAAACAACATGGTGACTCCACTATGGAACCAGCCTTATGAGGACCAGCTATCCACCAAACAGACCAACACCAGGGAGTTTCTGAGGAATTTATCCAAGATGCTGGAACGGAACATTGGGGAGATGCCTCCCTGTCTGAAGCAACAAAGGTGAGCTACTCACCAAAGACACGGGATGGTTGTGGGCCAGAATGGAAATGTGATCTTCCTTGACAAGAAACTGTTTGGAAACACAGTTTTATGGCGAGCTGCCCTGAAAACTTGTTAAAACCCCAGAAAATGTAGCCCATTTGTTTGAGAATCAGTTAAGGTTTTAACAAATTTTACGAAATAAGCTCCCTTCTCCACACACACAAGTCTTGTAGAATAAAAAAAAAAAACACACACACAAAACGAAGGGAAAAGCTCACGAGAAAAAGTTTACAAAAGCTGATTGAGTGGGACTTGCACCAACAACCTCCTGCTTACTAGTGCAGATGTCTTACTTGACCACCAAGCTTGCTGGGGCTGACTGGCTGGTTCCAATCTGATATAGCAGTTACCACAACCAATGAGTTTAATGGATTGTTTACGTAGGGGACTTGTGAATGTTAATATCTGGTTTGCCATTCACCAATGCAAATTTGAAAGCTTTCTTGGGTGGGATATGAACCCATGACCTCCTGCTTACTAGTGCAGACATCTTAAGGCCCTCTCACAGTGTCACGTTCTGGCATGGAGTTTGTACTGCTACCAAGAAAATTGACTAAAACGCGGTGGGAATGCAGATGACGGCGTGGGGACTCATTGATACTAGTTGAGGACTTCAGAAGATTCCAAGGACTTCGCTGAACACCAAACTGCCATGTTCATTTTGGATATGCACAAAACAAACGTTGCACCTCAGCGTTTTGACCAGAACGCGGCAAGGACTCTGCGCAAACTCCTCACAAATGGCCGCGACGTACTGGCAACGCGCAGGCAGACGTGAGCATCGTTGCGAGAACTCCACGGACGCGCATGCATCAGGACTGCGCGTTTCCTCTGCGTCTCCTGCGTCTATGCCGTTCAAAATGTGAAGACTCAATGACTATCGCCAATTGTGGCCCGAGTATTTATACACGACGCGCTTCTGGCTGCTGAAGTAACACGTATGTTTTAAGGTCGCATCAAGCGCACGATAAGAACTCCAAGAGCATGGTATGAACTTATTAGACGCCATGAGGACACAGCGAGGACACAGAGGACGCTGCGCAGACCTCTAATTGGTCTTCAATGGAACTCATAGAGAACGCCGCATAGACGCTATGGAACGCCACACGGACGTCGTAGACTTCCGGTGGACTTCACAGAAACGCATTGCAAGCCACTGGTGCCATGAATCCTGCATCTTTATGGTGTTTTGTTACATTTTTAAGCATTTCAACTACGCAATATGAACGCCATGCATGGACGTGACAGTGTGACAGGGCCTTTAACAACTTGACAAAAGAGCTTGCCAAGGTTGGAGAGCCAGTTTGAATCTTGTATGTATATAGCTGTGAGAACCACTGGAACAAATTCACAAGCTAGCTTGGCAGGGACTTGAACCCACACCCTCATGTTTAATAATAGTGCACTCTTCATTTGATTGACAGGAAGAACCACAGTGGGATGGCATGTGAGTTGGAGCCAATTAAGCCATCGGTGAGGAAGCTAAGAGATCATGTTTGTTGACTACAAAGACTTGATTTTTATGTTAATTCATCTGTAGTATAGTGAATGGTTCTATGAATTAAAATCTCAGCATAAGTTTACTTTGGCACATAGTTAGTGTTAGGTTAGCTTGACTGATGTGACCTTGGGTAGCTAGATAGAGTCACCTTTAACTAAATTAATATTTCAACCAGGATTTTATGATAGACTAACATTACGGTGTGTGAATCTTTTGTGGGATAAATATTCCCGACATTGGAGATGTCTGATTTGTTCCTTTAATTTTCATTGTTTGTTTCCTCATCAACAGCCAGTATTAGAGAGTTATCGCAACAAGTGTGAGTTTACCATCGGAAAGAGTGTCTATGGCATCGGTGAGTGAAACTGGCATTCATTTTTTTTATTCATCCAACCTCTACGTTTTGTGGTTTTGCATCCTTTGGATTTGATGATTTCTGGGCAACTCTGAAGTGTCATTGGTGGGATGTGAACCCCAACCCCCTGCTTATAGAAACTCTCTCATTTAGGGGCAAATTGAGACCAACTGTCCCTGGACTTACTGACAAACTGGGTCTCTCTGTTAACGAGAATACACGAGAAAGTGTGGATATGTAATTTAAGAATTCGCGAAGCGCCAAGTGAATTCGTAAATTAAGAATCCACACTTGTGAGTGTATTCTTCGACTTAAACCATTGCGTCAACAGAAGTATTGGAAAGAATGCTGCAACCTGACACCACTCTTTTCTTCATATACCATCTCAATGAAGGCCATTCGTTGCAAAAATGATAAGACATGAATCTGGGACTGATAAATGTTTCCAAAATTGTTAGGAAATACTTAAAATGATTCTCCATAGACGTTGTACACAAGCACGGAAGTGGCGTCAGGTTGCAACATTGTTTCCTGACGTGTTTAAAATGTGTATCGACACACCCGTACAACCAATTAAGTCATTTTGTGTATATAGGCTCCTTACGTTAAAATGGATAGTTCAGACGACGATTTCTTTCTGACAGTGAAGATGCAGTGGTAATTTTCGGGAAGCAAATTTTCACGCAGACGGTCCTATTCATGCTCATTATGGAGAACAATTGTCCGACGTGTTCAAAGTGTGGATTCGTAATTCCGAGTCCACACTTTGTGACCAGTGTAAGAGATTCGTAGATCCGAATCCACACTTTGAACAATAGTGTGACGTCATAGCAATGGTTTAATACAGCATAAACACCAGGGGGTGGGGGATTTATCCCCACCACCCTCCCATGTTTTGACCAGAGGTGGGGTATGGGCAATGGCATCATCATGTGTTGGGAAAAATGCTGCTTGTTGAATCCTGTCAACATGACTTTACAAAGAAGTTGTAGTTCTGAGAGAAGCAAAGAGCAACCCTAGGCACTCTTAAATGAAAGTAAAGTTTAACATCAAAGCGTTTCTTTTCTTGGTTTTTTTTTAAGATAGAGCACACCTACATGTATCCACCAGTATTGGTGTTCAAGGCACTGCATCATTAAATTAAAAGTGCACATTGCCTGGAATGGACATAACATTTCATAAAATCTGCGTGTTATGAACACCGCAACTGAAAGTTTCAGGAATTTTTTTTCTCAGTTATTCCCCTAAATTTTTGTCAGGTCTACATGAAACTTGGCCCTGGATAGATTGTGCAAACGTTTCAGTTTCATGTCTTATTATTTTCATTTACAGATAACACTGTTGGTTTCCGGCTTGGCGCTTACAAAGGTAAGTATTTCCTCTGAAGTTTCCTTTTTGCAAAAGACGTAGATCAACTTTTATGTTTGATTGGATCGGCTGTCGAGGGGCGTGGCCTATTAGTAGCTACTGCTGATCAATCCCAACCAATCAGAATGCAACACACAGAAAGATTGACAGGTGTACATATTGTGCATTGTCTATTATGTCTGTCAGGAATTAATTATTGAAAAGAAAGAAACAAGCCACAAAAGACTTAAACCCTTGTCATCCCCTTTGCTAACCAATATGTTGGCTTACTTTTGTGGCATGAATATTGCGGGTATATGTTTGTACTTTCAACATTGACCAGCAAGCTCTTTTACTCAATAGGGATTTTTCAACAATTACATTTGTACAAGCAAGAATTAGGTTTTCAATACAAAATTCAGGAAAATCACTGTTTATTTAAATGTTGCTAGTGTACACTTTTATTTATTTTATCACTGATCTTGCTTTTACATGCAAATTTGCTTGTCCTATAAAAAGTATGTGACTTTTAGAAACATGGTTTGCCCTGCAACTTTTTTTTCCAAATATTACTAGGTATCAGAAAGACGTAAGAGCTCAAACACCGATTTGGTGATAGTACATTTCTGTATTATTTGTGTTTAGAGTGTTAAATTACACAAGGAAATAGCAGCTTTAATGAACATATAAAAAGCAGCAATTCCTCGGATACTGTGCAAATTAAGATACATCTTGTATGATGCTAACTTTACAACGACATTCATATTTTACAGCATTGTTTTTTCAATTACCCAAATTCGAAGTACCCTTGAGTCCATCTAAAAGAAATATTAGAATATTGCTTTGCATTTAAACATCTTACAGACATGGAGCTCATAATGTAATACAACAGACTAGTGGTGCTACACAGATTATGTACAATTATAGAGCATGCAAGTCTCGCCAGTTCACATTCACTTTTCATGTGAACATCTTGGTACCAAACACTGACTAGTCTAGCCACAGACTCCCGTGTTTGAATTCACCCAATTCACCCAATGAAAGGAAGTGGAGGTCCACATTTTTTTCAATTTACTTTAGTAATCAACTTGCAAAATTTTTTTAATGTGTTGTAAATTGGAATGATTTATTTCTTGTTCAGAACCCATTCTTTGCCCTTGACTGGATATACCTAGTAAAATCACCTAGGTTTTTGAGGTCAACTTGCACGCTCTATTGACAGAAGTGGGGAACACATTGCTGACTTTAACTATCAACTACATTTTTTCCAGCTAGTAGCTGTGTAAACACCTTTAATACACCAGACTTAAATCCCATACTGTACATCTAAAGCCTACAATGGTCTCGTATATTATATATCTGTGCTCTGCAGCAAAAAGTCTATACAATGGATTTCTCCTTGCTAAAGATAGAATGGTCTTCAAAAAGCATTTTCCACGTTGTGCAACATGTCATCGCTTTGCTCACGAAGTGATAAAAACCTGAAAATTTGACAAAAGTTCATCCTGAGATTATCGCATTTGAAGTTATTCATTTTTTCAAAAGACATTTTCGACCACTTTGCAGTAACAGAATTCGGAATTTTTTGCATTGTCCGATAGGATATGATTTGCTCTTTGTTAATTCATAGTTGTTGGTTAAAAATAGTTCGTAATTAAACAGTAATTCATTAATAAAACTTTTTTGCACTTCGTGAGAACATCAATACTTTGGCTCCCATATTTTGCCAATTACTTTGTACACCGTTTTTGTCACTTCGTGGGATCATGAATCGCGGAGGCTTTACTTATTTGTACTTTTTTTTCGATGCAACAAACTTGTTACTTTTGCGCGTCAGGAAAGTTGAGCGCGCGCGCGCGTCTGTTCTTTTTCAACATCGTTCGCGCGTGCGTGTATGCTCCCATCCTGCCGCGTGTAGACCAATGTATAATTCCTCCGGCCCTGCTCAAGAGGTGACTTTTTGTCACTTAGTGAGAACATTTTACACTTTTTTACACTTAAAAATGAAAATCAGCGATTTCAGGCTTTTTGTCAATTGTTTGTTTACAATAATTAAGAAAGTAAACAATATTTTGCCTTGAAACTTGGTCAAATTGTTCCTTGAGACAACTATAATAAAATGGCTAGTAAAACTCAAAATCGAATAATTATCGATTTTCGAGGTTTTTGTCACTTCGTGAGCAAAGCGACGATGTGTGCACAAAGATTGGTGTAATGTATTTGGAATCAGATGCTCCTAATGCATAACTTGCAACTTTGTTTGTCTGTTACTTAGACTGTGTCTGAAACAGGCTTCTAGAGCTATGCTACGGCTATTGTCAGATTGTTCCCATGTAATTGTTTTGGGTGAAGACCTAGACAATAGCCATAGACATCTCACTTGCCCATATTAGACTTTAATATACCTAAAAAAATACCAATTTAATCTTTTTTTCTTCTCTAATTGGAGTTGGTCTTTTAATCTGTTCATTTGTGCATCAGGTCTTGACCCACAAGATAACCATTCCACCAGCACCTCTGACGTACCAGTGACTGGCGCTGCCATAACGGATCCTTATCACTATCGGACACAACAGCACTTCACCTCAGAGATCTTCAAGATTGAGATCCAAAATCTCCCAAGACACTTTGGATTTGCGGTGAGTTTGCTCCCTTATCATTGAATCCTCAATAACAATAACCATACACTATTATAAGATGGAATTTTGCGTCGAGGTGATATAAATCAAATTAGGTTTTGCCCTTCACCGACGTTTTTATGAACACTGTATACTCAGTGTGTTACCTCCCGAGTGAAAGTTGGAAAAATCACTCGGGTGGGACTCGAACCCACGACCTCCTGCTTTCTAGTGCAGATGTCTTACCACTCGACCACCGAGCTAACGGGATCGGTTGGCCGGTTCGAATCTGATGTACATAGCAGCGGGTACCGCATAAACTATTATAAGATGGAATTTTGCGTCGGGGTGATATAAATCAAATTAGGTTTTGCCCTTCACCGATCCCGTTAGCTCGGTGGTCGAGTGGTAAGACATCTGCACTAGAAAGCAGGAGGTCGTGGGTTCGAGTCCCACCTGAGTGATTTTTCCAACTTTCACTCGGGAGGTAACACACTGAGTATACAGTGTTCATAAAAACGTCGGTGAAGGGCAAAACCTAATTTGAATAACCATACAGTTTGTGCCATTTTAGGAGTATGTATGTATTGTGCTCCATGCTTGGGATTTGTCAAGGTCTGTTAATAACAGAATCAAAAGGCTGTAAAATGAATTTCACTAAAACATGAAATATCCCAGCCCTGTGTTTGTATGAAAGTAATGACCACATTTTACGCACACTTTTTTGCAATGCCCGTGCACATGTTCACAATTGTTTCTAATGTTGCTGTGATGTTGATTTAGGTATTTTACACTTCACAGCTTTGGGATTTTCTGTATAATTTATGAACCTAAAATTGATTGCATTGTACATACTGTGTAAAGGTTTGTACATTTAAGTATCTAATTGGCTGCATGCTATGTGCTAATGAATGCAACAGTCACATCAAACTTGATCAAAACACTTATGTTACATATTGTCCCCTCAAACAGCAGTGACACTGAAGTTCCAGCTCATGACATCATTGTATTTCTCATGAACATGCATCTTGGCACCATCATAAAAATATGTAAAAGCCTGAAACATCCAAAGACTTGGAATACAGAGGTGCATTTCCTAAAATAAAAACCTCCAAATCTGTTTCAAAAGCACTTTAAAAAAACCTCTTTATTTCCAGCGAACTTTCAGGGTTACCCATATGTTAGTACCATTACTTGTACATTTTCACACTGAAAAAAGTAACAAACTTGCTCATTAAAAGGAAGGGTAGATCATTTGTCATTTGTGCATTTTTTTTTTCATTTGAAGCTACAAAAGTGCTCAAAATCTAAAAACAGGTGCTTAACAACTAACATGATGAAGTTTTAGCTCTGTGAATGCAGTATATTCCAAACATATATTCTAGGATCTCAGGTTCAATTCAAAAGTTGCTGAGTCATGTTTTATACTGTGTCTGAATTCAGCCCCAGGGACACATTCTCATTCAGTCAATTGCAGCTACGCGATGTCATGCACTGAACTGACGAATAATAGCAACCTAGTGTGCGTCGTGTCGACGCTTGTGCGCACATATTCATGGATTCACCGAATTTACAAACCAACTACATGAACTAACATGATGCATCGTTAAAAATTGCTTTCTTTCATTGTTTCCTTTAAAATGACAGCATGCCAGAAAGAATGATTTCACAGGGAGTTTAGTGCCATTAACCCTTACCCTACTAGACCCTCCAACGCATGCCAATATGTGCCTCAAGAAAATCTCCTATGTTTTTTGCATGGCCCTCCAATATCTGCCATGTCATTTCAAGGGTAACTGGACAGGCACTCCAATACATGCCACAGAGAACAATGAGAGTCCTCTGATAACAAAGTGAGTGCCCCCAGCTGGTCAGTATCAGGCACCCTCCAGGGCCTCCAACTCCTGCCAATTGGAGCCTTCACAGTCAAGATAGTTTATCCTCCAATTAACTGCAGCTGGAGGGCATTGGCATAACCAACTGACATGCAGTAAACTACCCTCAGAGAGTAAGGGTTAAAACCAAAAGCCTTTTAACAATAATTTTGTCAGTTACTTTTTGGATAGCTGCAAATGATCTACTCTACCTTTAAACACGAACAAAAGTTTGATTCAAATAATTAAACTATTTAGGATTTGTTAATATCTGAACCTTTTACATACATACATTGCATGAATACCAGCTGTTCCCTTTACTGATAGTTGGTTGCAATCTGCTCTGGGCGGGCCTGCACATTACTGATGTCATGGTGCGTACAGGTATTGGCAATTCACTGAAGTAAAACACATTTCAACTCCAGCATAATGTGCTGTTAATGTTTCTCGATGTCAAATCTACTTCTGCTCTACACTTTGAACACAGCAAGTTCAAAAGCAGCACTCGCTCTACACACTGCTGCCCTTAAAGACAGCTTGCACTTATCAGGTACCAGTGAACATTGTTCTTGACAACTTTCCAAAGATTAAATCCCTTCTGGTTCTGGATGTGCATACTGCTACCCTTGTGCTGATGGCTCGGTGCCAGTCAGCCCAGGACATTGTTCCTGAGTACTTGCAAGTGACTGCTGGCTCTC